TTAATTAATATACAACAATGCTACCCTAATATTCAGGCGTGGATGTATACCGGTTTCCACCATTTTATGGAAATCGGTCAGAATTTTCCTAAAAACATAATTTTTTAAATAAAAGTGAACTGTAAAATCGGTTTTCGAAAAAACCCAGGAAAGGGGACTTTAGGAAGTAAGAATTAAAAATTTTCCCGGGGGAGCATGCCCCCAGACCCCCCTTAGAGCTTGCGCCTTGGGCGCAAGTTTTGTAGTCAATCGCTCATCTTTTATCCTATATCCACGCCTGATATTATTGATCTCTGTGTCAAGATTATGTACAAAATATACTTATTAAAACAACTTACAAGTGTGTAATTAAATTCACAAATTGCACTTTCCCCCTAAGAATGGAAGTGTTCAAAAGTGATGCCGATGATATTCAAACAAGGGGATCAGGCTGACTTATTAAACGCCCCATCTCTATTAGATCCCAGTGTTGGCAAAGGTTCGAAAGAATTATTTACGATTAGGTCTTTGGCTTTCTCATGGATTATAATTTCCTCTCTAGCCACCAGTCGGGCTTTCAATCTCCTCACTCTACAGTTACTTCATTAATACTCGAGGCTACTGATGATTGGGCATACAATTTTGACCATGATAATGTGAATGCTATAGAAAGCCTTTGTCACAGTTGATCTTTTATTGGCTGAAAGTAACAGCTGTGTGGATGTCCGACTTATTAAAAATACAAAAGCAGCTGGGTAAAACGCTATTAAAGTGGAGGATGTGAGTATGGTTTTATAATAAATGCATCATTACAATAGGTGGGGGGGGGGAGTCAAAAAAGTTTTTACTTTCTCGCTGGGGGAGGCAAGAAAAGTTAGCCTTGATCATCGGGGGGTACAAAAAGTTCGAAACATTAAGTTTCCCCATTTGCCAGCCCCCCTCCCAATAAATAATGAACACTTCCTTATATGGATGCATGTTGAGCACATGCCAATTAGCACCATTCACCCCATGGTTCTTCTTCCTCTTCTTCTTCTTTTTCTTCATCTTCTACTTTTTCTTCTTCTTCTTTTTGTTCATCTTCTTCTTCTACTTTTTCTTCTTCTTCGTCTTGTTCATATTCTTCTTCTTCTACTTTTTCTTCTTCTTCGTCTTGTTCATCTTTTTCTTCTACTTTTTCTTCTTCTTCGTCTTGTTCATGACTCTTTTCCTTAAACAAAAAGTCACACTCGTGAGAGAAAATCAAAATTAATGGAAGTACCCTGTATAGCCATGTGCATAATAAACTTTTCACAAATATAGGATTTTTTGATTTCTTTTTACTGTAGAAAATTAACCAGTGGTAGGCCATGGACTACACCAGTATGACATACATGCAGATTGAATAAGAACTGCAAACTGCAACAGCTAATCAACCAATGTTATGAATGGCTCTGAGCAGTTCTTCTATATTACTGTGGTGCGGTTTTTTGTTTTTGCTAGGTAGCAACCTAACAATTTGGACAGAAATTTTCTTGAACTTAGGAATGAAAATAACTCTACATTTTTATACACTGCATAATAATTCCTTGAAGCAAATGATATGTTACTATATAAAAAAATATATGTAGCAATTATATATCCTACTATAACATAAATGCAAAACTATCTATCTTGGATTGAATTTTTCTGACTTACAAAAATCCACTGGCAGACAAAAATAAACAGCTTACTGGCGTTAGTTTCGAGTAACACTAACTAGTTTATTGTATCAAAATAATAATAGATGTACAGTGTAAGTTCACAAACAAGCATTAGCCATTTCACTTACCAGCATGTCATCATCGCTAATGATTTCCTTGCCAACTTCATTACATGTATCTTCCTTTATACCATAATCATCACCTTCACCCTCACCTTCACCTTCGGATTTTCCATCAATACTGTCATTTTGTTTCTTAAACAGAAAGGCGCACACATGAGTGATAATCAAATGACAATATATCCATGTGCATAATCTGGCATAATACATGTAATTAAACTTGAATTAAACTTTCCGATCTATTAAACTTGGGATGCGTCTTAAAACCAGTAGCAAAATGGTTGGAACATGGTCCCAAAAATTCTGTTCCCTTTAAAACCGTACGAATATAACAAATGCCCAAAGCAAACGAAACAGCTGAAGAAACTGAACGAAAGAGTCAGTATAAACCAAACCGCCATCTTTGTTGACCTCAGTAACCAGGCTAAATAAAAGCACATGGTGAAGAAATATGTGCGGTTACTAAGCTATTTTTAGCTGTTGGGTAAATTCGCGCTAAAAAAAATCGAATTTTTCGGTGGATTCGATAATTAACCTATTGGGTCATCGAGTTTAATAAAAGCTAAATTAACAATTTTTACCTTATCGATTTCTCCTCGTACGCGAAGAAATGTCTTTACCAGAGGAACAAATGCGGTTTTCCTTCGCCCATCGCCAACATTCTTTTCGTCACGTTTCCTTTTTTCGCATTTGCCCTCGTTCTTGCGCCAGCGACTCCTTTGGCCTGCAAGTCCAAATTGTATTCTCTCTTTTATGGTCGCCTTCATTCTCACAGCTTCCGTAATTTCTGGCAATTCGTAGGCCAGAAATGTTTTAAATGCGGTGGCATCATTGAAGTAGCCAACCAGTTCCTCGTGAAGAGATACATCTCGCATCTTGCTGGCCTTATCTTTCCATTCAAAAGGCCTTTTGTGGTGCATTTGGTGGAGCGTGAGCGGAGGTATACTTCCCCCTCCAAAGAGGAATATGTCTACAAGCCTTTTGAAGTCAGCTACCTTGTTCTCGATGGAGCTGTCAAAGTTAGTTTGCTCCGACAGAGGGCATGATGTTGATTTGTCCAGTTTATCTGAGCGGCTTTGAATGCCGTTCACAAGATTATTTGCCTTGCCTTCTAGCATCTTCCAAGTACATCGCAGAATTTCTCTTCCAGTAATTTCTTGCTCCATTTCTTTATAAGTAAAGTGCCGGTAATTTTCGCTAGATTTAACGAGAGCAACAATTCTTTTCTTCCCATTGAGGGCACTTTTTAACCAGGCTTTGAAGTTGTTTTGGTACGTTGAATTTGGTCTTTTTACAAGCGGAGGACCATCTGAGGGCATTTTGCAACAATTGAGCATTTTTCCTTTTCCTGCACTCACTGCCGCACGACGAGCAAGTAGTTTCATCGGATAACCGATGACAGAAGATGCATTTAAATTCTTGCTGAGAGGCAGACATATTTTTCTAACTTGACGCCAGCGCTGTGTACAAATGACATCACAGATCTATTTTAAGTAATTGTGCGCAGCGCGATTCCCATTTTAAATTGGAAACCCATCAAATTTCCATCGACTTCTCATGCATGACTCAGTGCCCTGAGAAATTTCACAAAGTGTTTTTTTTTTTCGTGGCTCAGGTGTTATAGATTAATTGGACCGCTTTGAGTAAGCTACTGAAATTGGTCTGTTTCCGCGCTATTGTTTTGTCACATTCGCACTTGCATTCGCAAAAATCAGTTCGCTATCGAATGGAAATTTTACTAGTATGAAGCGACTGAGCAATTCTAAATCAGTTTATCCTTTGCAAGCGAAATAACTTATGGCAAACGACACTTGTATTTTCTTGCGGTTTTATGTAGGTAGAATTGAAGAAAAAAGCCCAAGTTAAATGCGAAGATGGCCCGCTTCAAATTTCGCGCTATTGCAGTGCCATTCGATACTATATTTTGGATCGTTTGTCGGCTTATGGGCTCCTAGCCATTCGTAAAGAACGTCCCTGAAATTTTATTTTTTGCAAAGACCAAAGTTATTACGCTTTATACTGATATAAAGTTTGTCACATTACTCTTGAAACTGGTGCGTATATGATTTTCTTTTCAAGTGATTGATGGCAGCTTAATTTATAAATAACTGCCTGTCAATCAGTTGGGTATCCGGCCGGAACTGCGTCAACGCGGGGAATCAGACTAAACACGTTGCTCCGTTTTAGTTCTCTTTTGAGAAAAAAATCTTAAAGCTTTTATACGGGTTTATATTTATAGAAAGCTCTAGGATAGTAAAATGTTGCGTTTGGACCTGAGTACACCATTTGGTATACCCAACGAGGGCAATACATGCTATATTAACTCTGTTCTCCAGTGTTTGTTATCCAACAAGGACTTTGTGTCTTTGGCTTTGGAGCACCATCAAGTACAACAATGCTCAAGTAAGTTAACGTTAATGTTCTGCAGCTGTGAACACCGTCATTCTTCATTCACCAGCAATTTTTCTTGGCATCCTTAATATAGATATTGTGAGATAATATTCTCTTGTCATCCTAATATAGGTTCTGGGATTGATGACAATTTACCATTTTGCGCTTTATGCGAGATCGCCAGCATGGTACTATCTGGTCTTACTGGAGAAGCAAGAGGAATCATGTTCAAGAATCAAGTTAATTGTAAGTGAAATCATAGTTATTTGTGACAAAATAAAAGGTAGAATGAAGCAAGTAAACAAGAAAACAAATTGAAGCGCATAAAGAGAGAAAGAAAGAGACGACTGGTTGTTTGTTTTCAATAGTCCACTTTGTCTTGGATTTCGAGGCCTTGGCAACGGATATGTTGTCCACTAGAAATTTAACCCGAAGACATACAAACGTACGGGGAAATTTCGCCTGTTCGAGGCGTTGAGATTGTGACAAGACAGCAGTATTAAGCTTGTTGTCAGTAACGGGAAAGTTTCAACGCCGTGAAAGTTTTCTTGGCTGAAAAGCGACGACAAACAGCAACTTATTACAATAAAAAGAATACATAAAAAAAAATCACCCGATTGAACGATAACTTGAATCCGAATAGTTCTATAAGCGGGAAAATACGTGCCTCGAGAATATAAGCTTTCCCATGGAGGAGCAGGATTGTTCAATGAGTTTAATGACACACACTGTTCTAACTTAATATAGCGTTTGGGTCTTTAATATAGGACCACACAGGAGACCACATCACAACCAGTCGATGATAACGGTGCTTTCAAAACACAAAAAATTCCCCGAGAAACGCGTCTTTGCCGATAAATTTTTGAATCCCTATCTATACCACAGTTTTCAGTTCTCCTTTCAAAGCGTCTTTTTTTATCTATGGACAACACAAGCCGTACTCAAGAGCTATCGTATAAAAATTCATGTTTGTCAATGATTTCACATCTGATCATTTCAGGCCACAAAACAGCACTTTCATCAATGGTGGCACCGAGAAACTGATTTGGAAATCGAAATTTCAAAAACTTGCCGGACATCTTTGCTTACCTTTGCTAGGGCAACGCGCGTGAAGCCTAGAACTGTAAAATGCGCGCGCAAGTCTTATCTTTTTACATAAAAATCGCTGTTCAACCTATCCAATGAATGAGCAAACACAAGAAAAGACAGCAAAATCCTGTTTTATTCAAATATCCGTTAGTTTATCCTAAAAAGCAAAACGTGTACCGTTGGTGCATCAAGGAACTGTCTTCGAAAAAACAAAATTCATGAAATTTAGCACGTTTTATAAACATTTCTCAAAAATTAATGAAAAAAAAAAAAAAAAAAAAAAGTCAATCACAAATTTATATCAACAGAAATTCCCATCGAAAAGTCTTATTTCATTTACCGTGATGTCCCTCGGCTGCTTGAAAATCCTTTAAAACTCCGCTTCTTCGGCTCTGGCGTCCGAAGGCAGAAATATCGCCCTACTTTGATTTAAACATGAAGTTCCTCGAAGGAAGATTTCATCGCTTTTAAGCTCTTCTTTCCCAACATGCCGGCAACTGAGTATTCTTTGTAACTTTTTCATGCCATTTTAAATACTTGAAATGTGTGTTATAACTCCGATAATACAAAAATACGATTTTGAAAACGAAGTACATTACATGAGCGCGGCAACCATAATTTTGAGTTAAAATTTGATTTCATATCTGAGTAAAATTTTCAGCGCTTTGACCACGCGCGAGTTTATGACGTAGTTCAGAAATTGCTTGTTCATTGGCCAATATGCTTTTACGTCACCGCCGTGGAAAAATCCACCGGTAATTTCCCGCGCTGCAAGTGGGAAAAGTCCCTTCCAACGAAGAACCTGACTATATGGAAAACGAGTATTGGAAGGGACTTTGAGAAAATCTAACTGTTCCGCTACAGCCTATCAGTATCTCTGTATTTTGCGAGTTTACTCGCAGTTTTGGTGTCGTAACGGTGGACGGCTGAAGGAGCCAGCCATGCCAGTCGACATCCGACTTTTAGAATTAAAGGACTGAAGTGAGGTTGAAATCGTACTGCTGACCTATAGCCAGTTCTCAGAAATGCTGTGTTGAATAGTAACCACAGTTGCATTCGTATGAATATCAAAACAAATGTTTCATGCTACATTCAATAACACCATACGCCTATCAGCGAAAGTACTCCCTAGCTCCAAACACAATTTAACCGCAAAATAAACTCTGAGGAACCGAAAACCATTGCTCTTTGAATCGTATTAAATTAATTAGACTTTTTTCTGTCACGGTGATAGAGAAATCAAAATCAAAATCACGGGCTGAGAAATTTACTCAGTGATTGGAGCATTCAGCGACTACTACTGATCCTGCATTACGACGGGTCTGGAAAGTGTAAATATCAAATGTTAGTATGACAGCTACAACAGAGAAATTTTAAATTTGGATCTATTACAGAAAGGAAAGCATTTCTTGGTACGTACTTGAGGCAGCACTATTCTAAAGCCGGACTATATTGTTTTTTTTGCGACGAGCGTGCAGGGCCTGTTATCTTTTACAGCGATTTTTTTTTATCTCGTCTCTGACCCTTAGCGCGAACGCGGACCTTTCCGTGACGATTTCTATACTTTTGGTCACGCGTTACGTGTAATGTAACACTGAAGTTCTCGTGTGTCCTTTTCAAAGTGTTTTGACCAAGTTTGAAGCGCAACGGCATTTCGGTGAAGGGTTATAAGGAAACAGGTATTACACATTTTTAGTAAGAAACGGATCGAGCGGCCATCTTGGTATCAAGAATATTTTTTCGGATTCCATGAGCACAAATTTTGTTCAGATTTCCTTTTTTTTTACTGAAAAAAAAGTTGAATTGTGATTCAGTACACAATACAATACAATGTATACCATACAATATGTACCATTTTTATCAAATAAAAAAAATAACAGAAATTTAGGAATGATAGAGAAAACAAAAGCCATTAACGTGTCAGTGAGTTAACTGTGGCGGAAAACATGGCGACTTCATAGCTATGCTCAGGCTCACAGAGTTAATAAGCTGCGAAGCCACATTTTACGAAACAGGTATCCGCACACCTTGTTAGAAACAGTTTTGTAGGATGCATATTTAGGATCTTTGAATTTTATGATGTTATGTGCAATCGTATTTTAATCAACATGTAATGTTACCATACAGGTTTGTCCAACACTCTTTCTGCCGGCCGTCAAGAAGATGCCCATGAGTTATTGCTAGGAATTTTGAACAACATTGACATGGCCAGGGGGTAAGTGTTCGTCTTATAGTAGATGATGTCTTTTTTAAAAGTAGACAAAGGGTTGACACAATTCCTGATTGAGATTTCAGTATAATCATCTGCTCCTTTTTTCAGAACTGAAGCAATTACGTCTTTGTTTACCGGAAATATAACCTCTGAAGGTGAGTTCGGTACATTATATTAATTCCAGCAACCAAAGATTTATATAAGTATATTGTTTTAAAAAATTTCATAATTTTGAAGCGGAACTAACTAATCCGCATTTTCTTTGTATGCAGTGGAGTGTCTAAACTGTGGTGGTGTTTCTGGACGCCTGGATAACATGGTCGATTTATCATTAGAGATTAAGGTAATTCTTTTAAGATTGTTTAGTTTATCGCCCGCTTAACTGATTAAGTTGTGACTTGATGTAACTTTTGCGACATGGTTTTGTTTTTACAGGAACATGTGGTAGCTTCACTGGCAACGTTCTTTAAAGAT